GGGGGTGGTGAAGCCGGGGGGCCTTCACTCGTGCCGGTGAAAACCATTGCACGTCCGCCTGCTGTGAAGTAATCGCTATAATAATAATATCGATGTATACTCAGTGTTTCCCCTGCATTGACACGAGCGAGGTGGCCGCCTCGCTCAAATCTCACCCGCCACGCAGAAATTTATCCAAAAGTACCGCCTCGCTGATGAAAATCACTGTTCTTCCATCAATAAACTACACTTTATTGATAGCGTTCGAAATGAGTGCCGACCTGGAGGCCCGAGGCCACTAAGTTTTGGCTTCGACCACTATCTCTACGAAACTGCCGGTCCTCCTGACCGGCACTTTTTCACCTCATATTACGCTGAAATACTATGGTTATCGCAACGGCAGTTTAGACAGACTTGTAAACGGGAGCGCATTCTAATACGCTCCGTTCCTGAACGTAGACGGGATATCCAAAACATCTAAAGCCGAGGGCACGAACTCCCTCGACGCATGATTCACCACACGAACAAAACCTTGTGACAGTCTAAGAAATCGATTGCAGCCTGTAGCGTGGCCCAGTGTTTTTATGACCGCATAACAATAAGTTCATATGTCGTAGGGGTTATCGTGGGGAGTGAGTGCACGACCAGTGACACTTGACACGCACGTAATCAAAGCTGTTAACTGAATTTGGCACTTTTCTTTACGTAGAAAGTCGACTATTTTTATTCAGTTAGATATCTAGAAGCAATGTAAACTGTATATACTTCAAGATTCTAAGCACTTGTAAATTTGCGGATATGCGGCAGAATTGATCTATGCATGGGGGTACCAAGGACTGGGGAGGAGAAAAACCGAAAGTAAAACCTTTCCCAGAAGCTTGTTTGTTCCTTTTGACAACTTGAAAAAGTGATTCAAGAGTCTCATAATAATATGTTCAGAATAGCTTAGAGTGCACCAAATGATGCAATTTGGTGCATTCTAAGCTATTCTGAACACATTGTATGAGACTCTTGAATCTCCTTTTCAAGTTGTCAAATCGTTCGTCAGCACAAATTTCTGTGTGGCGGCCGAGAATTTGAGCGAGGCGGGAACCCCTCGCTCGTGTCAATGCAAGGGAAACACTGCTAATTCAGTAATCGATATAAATAAATAAATGTGACGGAATCGATATATTATATATATCGAAGTACCAGTCAACGATTAGCACGTGATTTCAATTAATTATCGCCAGTATTATTTAGAAATTATCAACATGTGAACTTACTATACTGCGCAACCCATCTATTTCGCTAAATAATGACGGATTGAATCAACTAAATCGCGTGCAGTTTGTTGAGTAATATTGCTAGATAATCACCTTTACAGCATTGTGAAAATTATCAAATATACTTCTTTCTTCTGTAAATAAAGTACAAGACTTATGACAGCAAATCAATTCCTCTGTTTGCCTCCATAAATGTCCTTTGATTCCAGTGCACTGTTATTGAGTGGAACATAAACTTTCAAAATGTTTTAAAAATAGACTATATAAGTCTATACTAGAATGAAGTTATAATCACGTAATGTTTGTGCGGCACTGATGCATCATTTCTTGTATTCAATATTGCATACTTGGTATTCTATTCTTTTCAATTTGCTGGACACACAAGACATTTAGAATATATAGATGAATATCCATAAAATCAATGATATATTTCACAGAAACGTTTGCAATCAACAATAATGAGGCATCTAAATACGATTTCTAACAACAAGGCGGTTCATTCATTGAATTTGATATGCATCACTCCGTAGGCATACACGACTAGTTTCATATGCAAGGTTATGTACACGTTTTCAACAACACAAAAATATGTTCTAAAAAACCAAAGTTATGTTGAAGGCATACCCGCTGTACATGTAGCTGCTGCTATATATTAAATTATAAATAAATAATAAACTACATTCGTTTAGTAAAACTAATGTAAAACTAGTAAACTCTAATTGCAACAGTAAGTGCAATTTCGTTTTCCATCGTTTTCGAAAACAAATTGCATAAGGAAACCCGTTCAAATAAAAGTACATGTCATGACATAGTTGACTTACTATTTCAGCTAGCGATAAATATAGTGTCTAAAATGCAAATGCAAATGCAAATCATTACACGTCCAGTTATTGCTAAACAGATCATAGATTAATGAGCATTATAATGATTCGTTATCCTTCACATGGCTCACTCAAACGGCTGCCACTGAGATCTCCTGAAAGCAACTGTAGCTGCATAGCTGTGTCACATTGAAATACAATTAGCATCACGTCGGGTGAACTTGACCTAAACTTCTCGTGGGAAGTGGCGCACTAACATGTGACAATAGGCAACAATCTAACGACAGCACGTTACAAGTAGTATGGATTCAATTGCAAGTCCAGTTACCTGCGATATTTTCTATCATTTGTCTATATAGTCACTAGTGACACGTCGTACGGTCATACTCTGTACACACAGCACACAGTGTGATATAATACATCACACAGCACATAGTGTGATATAATCAGAAGTAGATAACAGCACATAGTGTGATATAATACGTCACACAGGTTCTGTCACACGGGCAAAAATATCTGACTAGCACATTCCCCGTGATCCGAAAAAAATTTAAATATCGGCAAGGAGTTGATATTGCACCATAGACAGGGACGCACGAGCAAGCAAGCGCCCATACACTCCAGGGGCGTAGCTAGGGTTAAATGGATATGTACGCACATACGAGGGCAGGTTAAATAGCATTTAGGTATAAATATAATTGCACTTTTGTGATTATAGCCCTCGGTCTGTAACCTGCAAAATAAATTGTCAAATACGCAACTTTTTTGGGGTGGCAGCACGGTCGCGGGTATCATGGCGCCGTTCAAATTCCGTAGCGTTGATGTGTAAATAATTATAACAAATAAATTAGGTATCTGGTAACAAATACGTGTGGGTATAGACTATTTGTTATACAGTAAGTACAGTTGTATACAGTAAAATCCTAGAGGCTACTGTCCCTTAATTTTAAGCTGCGTTCACACGGTCATGGTTTGGCTCGAGCCAAATAAAAAAATGGGCTAAATTTGGCTCGGGCCGGTTTGAGTCGGAGCGTTCACACGTGTGCAAGTGAATACTGTCTGTCAAATTCAAATTCAAATTCAAATTCAAATAAATTTTATTGCGCAAATATCTCACAGATACTTTGACAGTATGTCGCGAGATGGCGGTGTGTACGATCATAGAAGAAGAAAGGGTGGGCATATGTTTCCATGAACCAGACATCGCGTGACGTCAGTGTACGTCACGCACGAACTCGGCTATCTCCAAAGTTGAATGCAGGTACGCATAGGCCTACAGCCTGCTGATCGTGCTGGTTGTTGCGTCAGACTTTTCGTATATTAAAGAATGATGCAAAACCCTAACCCTAACACCAACCACAAACCCAACCCCAAACCCGAACGTTAACCCTAACTATAATTTAAAGCGACTCGGATCGACTTATATAGTTCTATAGTGTCCCAAACACTATCTATGGTGTCACACGGTCTGGATTGTGTAGATAATATAGTAATAATATAGATAACCATAACTAATATAATAAATAATGTAACGAATATATAACTAATATATAATATAGATACCGGTAATATAATAATATGGTCATCTATATTATTTCTATGGGACGGACGGTGGTGGTCTGACATCACACTGACGTCACGCGATCAGTCGGGTTTATGGACACATATATCCACCAGAAGGAGCATGATAGCCAACTCCGTGCCATGTTTGAAAAGGTTGGGGTACAGTGGCATGCTGGGAGTTCGGGCACGACTTGCTTCCGGTCGCACGCTCAGCATATGTTTACATTTAATGTTTGCTGAATTTGCTATTCTCTATTTTAAATATCTATCGATATCTTTGGTGTTAGCGATTGGGGAACAAATTGTGTTGTCACTATAGCAATAGCAGATCGAAAAGGATGAGATTCTATCGAATTAAGTCGCTCAGAAATAAAAAAGAACATAGTATCAGGGGCGTAGTTACGGGGGGCCTGGGGGGGGCACGTGCCTCCCCCCCCACAAATTTTCTGTGCCGCCCCAGGTGCCCCCCACTAAAAATTCATGCTTGATAAAAAAAATTTGAATTAAAAACGATGCC